GGTCTCCGACCGGGCGGAGCACAGCCACGTTTGAGATCAGCAAGATTCATCGGGCTCTTGGGGAGGTGCAGGACGCTTTGGGGCCGTGTTGGGCACGTCAGGGAGGAGTTTCTACTACAACCCATAACCAACCTTGCCTGTTGGCCTACCAAGCGTGGTGTTTTGAGGTCGTTGTGGAGTTGCCGTCGCTTCATTTTAAGACAAATCCATGTAGCATAGATGAGCAAGCACTGCAAGTTTTGAGCTTTAGGGAATTTGACACTTCCTGTTTGGTCTATCAATATCATCGAGTCGAATGAGCATGTGTTTAGATTGATCATTGACCTAGACTCCAAAACAAGTTGACAGATCATCCATCGATTTAGGCACCGTGAAAGCATGTGGACGTAGCAGAGACCCGGTTTGTATGCTGCGTTGCCAAACCAAGACAGCTGACAGTGTACTCATGTTTTGGCCTTCATCTATCCTGCTTTGGCATGGCCTGCTCTGCCTGCTTTGCAAAAGTCCAAACTTTTCCAAAGAGTCCATGCACACTTGACTGAACAATGGCTATGAGTGGCTAAGACGTGCTTCAGAGGGTTACGGTTTCAAGGACTTTCTAGATGTGTGGCTGGAGTAGGATTGTAAAATCTGAGATGTCAAAGTAGACGTTGTTTTTGTGGCTATTTTCAGTTGCACTTTCGACACTTCCAATCTTTCGATGAAAGCTTTAGAGGCTGTAGAGGTTGGAGCTGATGTCTCCACAGCCGCCAGCCCTGCCCTCTTCCAGGAGCAAACCATCTCAAAGTTTGGGGAGGTGGATCAAGCGATGAACGTCCTCCATGGCCAGTGGGCGACCTTGCACAAAGAATTGCAGGCGGGGCAACCTTGCTCAGTTGAGCCGACCCCAGAAGTGTATATGTAGAAACATCACTGCAAATTAGAAGCTGTTGACATTTCCTGGGCTCTGCCAACAATATCGGACAGTCTTTCACAGTAGTCCTCGCCAGGGTGGCTGGTGGGTCATTGGGATGATTAGCTGGATGTCTATCAAGCAAGAACACTGCAATAACGGTTTTAACATGTTTTAACAAGGCTCTTGGATTCTGTGGGTGGACGGGTTTTGCATCCCCTGCTTGGCATGGAAGCTGTTCTTCATACTTGTTCCTCTTTGCCATGACAGCTCTGCAACCGTAGGATGCAGTGGGATGCCGTAGGCCTTGTCTTTCACAAGGCTGAGATCTCGTGAGGCGAGTGAAAAAGAGTGGAAGAAGAGCCAAGAGCTCCTGAGCCAAGCGATTGGCGCAGTCAGCCACGACCTCCAAGACTTCCAAACACACGTCCGCTGGGCCCAGAGTGTGCGGAGCATGAAGATCCAGAGAGGGTGTCTCTAGACATAGGAGGCATATAACTAACTATATAATGTATATCTATGTTGTTAACATCCTGTACTTTTGTGTTTTTATAAATACATCGTGTATACATACATTATTGATAATATATATATATGCACATACTCAGATGTGATTTGCAATCATGCATGCTTGGCTGATGTGGGTTCCCTTTTGGTAACACAGGTGCCCAGTTTGCTCTATTCATCTGAGCTGCGATATTGTATTGTGTATGTGTATTTCCTGCTCTTCATCCGAATTCATTCGCAAATCGGACCCTTAAGGCGCATAACTCCAGACATGTTCCAAGATCCTCATGCCTTACCTAATCACCAAACAGAAGAATCCTCTCACATCCACCTGAGGACCCACCAGTCCCCGCTTCTGAGGTCACTGGAAGCACCAAGAAGTCCCAGGTGGACATCCTTCAACTGCAGGTGCTGAAGTCCTTTCGAGTCGCCTTTCGAGTGCACCTGTTGTTCTCAGCAGAATAATTTGCTCATTCCAGTCCGTAAGAGATTCCCAACAAATGATACTACCGAGTACCCCCTCAAGACTCTCGGCTCACATCCAAGTGATGGCTCATTTACGGATTTGATGGGATTTGCCCAAAACAGCCTTCGGGATTTGAGCCAACAGCCCTGAGAATGGTGTACGATTTGAGTGTCACAGTTGTTGTTTGCACCAGCTGGCTGGCTGTCGGATCGCACCCACCAGATCTTTTGGAGCTTGTGATCAAATCTCACCAGGCCCACCGACCCTGCTGGTGCAGTGTTCGCCATCTGTCAGGAGGGCCGCCGGAGCGATACTGAACGCCTGAGCCGCATGGAGACGCAAGTGATGGCGATTCACCAGCCCCATGGTTGGAGGGCAGGGCTTGGAACGGGAATCAGTTGGATTGTTGTATACAGTATAGTTTTTGTTTCATCTTTGTCAGTGAGATGGTACAAACAGGACACATTTCTTGCCCGGATACCGAAGCATTTCCAAGATTGGATAACTATGACCAACGAGTTGGCCTAACAGGGGTGTGTTTTTGTGTGATCTCAATCGGTACTTCGGTGTCCTGGCATTTCCGGCACTTCGAAGGATGTGGACCAACAGAGCGTTTGCCTCAAAGACTCCAGACCTTGTGATTGACGTCTCATTCTCCAATATGGGATCCCTTCGCTGTGCCCATATTATGTTCATTCAAGCTTCCACGGTCCATGGTGATACACTGGCCCCTTCTAACAAAGCTTTAGACTCTATATAGTTCAGATTGAATGGATGACCAATGCCTTTTGAAGGATGGTTTTTACCTTGTGGAACTTGTGGACATAAATCTTCTGCTCTTCGCCCCTATCCGCACTTCAGGAACGTTCAAACCAATGCAAACGAGATCATTTTGTGGCTTGCCTCGTCATGCTGGCCATGGGGCGCTGCGGGATCTCCTCGATTTAAAAGAAACAGACCGTTTCTTCTTCAGACCAAAGCATTTTGGCCTTGATTCTTGATGCCCTGCTGAGTAGCTAGAGGCCATTCATGCACATGACAGAGGAACTTAAGAATTTCTATCGATGTGGAATGTTGGTGGGACGTGTCAATTGCATGAAATTGAGATGCTTTTCAAAGCAGACTGAGACTGGGTCATTCATTCTGACATTGACTCACGTCCATCTTGGGATGCCGCATATGGGGCCAATCCACGAGCCATCACAAGCCAATACCGGGCTTTGCGGGATACAATCATTGATCAATATGTTACGTTTCTCTAAAGATCTAGGAACCAAATCATTAGCGCGAGCGCTTCTTCAACAAAACTCCCCCTGCCCTCAGGCAGGGGGAGCTTCCTTGAAGAAGCGTCAGCTAAACTGCATCCTAGCTAGGAGCTTCCTATTGCTAGTAGCTCACTCCTCCCTTACTTAATTAAGTAGGCGCCTGCTTAATTATATAACGAGGTTGGCCAGAAAAGAAATCTTTACCCTATGGTGTCCGGAAGCTTGGCGGCATTGGTGCACTCGAGGCTCGGAGACCTGGTGGACCGGTGTCGACCTGTGTCGCCCCAGCGGCGGATGCCGGTGCCGATGCCAGGGCAGAACCTGGAGCCTTCATCCCATGGCCACTGGGAAGGTTGTCCTCACCATTTGCTCTGAGAGACAGATCTCGATCATGTATATTGTTGCAATCACTCTATCGTTCGACCCCCTTTTCCATATGCTATTTTCATCCACTGCATGGACCGTTCATCTCTAGGTCTTATCTCGATCATGCATATTGTATAGTTCATCTCTAGGTCTTATGTCGATCATGCTTGCTGTATAGTTTTGTAGTTGTTATTTGCAATGTCTTGCTGCTCCTCTCATTATTGCATCATTTGCATCACCAGATCCATCAAAGGCAGTTCATTTTCTATGTGTTTTTGCATGTTTTCCACCTCCCCTTCAGACCTCCGGACACACCTCACGATGCAGGATATAGAATTTCATTTCCAAACGAAAAAGGCACTTCCCCCTGAAGCTTTGGGAGCTCAGTGTTCGCGCCCCAACTCATATATGCCCCTCAGCACCTTCGTCCTTGCGAGAGGATTTGTGGTTTATCATTCGTTTGCATCTCATGTATCAATTGAACATCAGGAAGCAGGTTCAACTTTCCCAGGTATCTGACGCGTTCCACCTTTGAGCACCTTGATGACAAAGACTCCTTGGGTCGAATCAGGCTGAAAGATGCCATACAGCCATACAGTCAAATGGCCAGTTGACGGGCCCCAGGTCGTTGAGATACACCCAACCTGGGTGGTTTGGTATTGAAACCCAATGGCCTATGGCACCTTTATATAGATATGCCACATCCTCTGGTTGCTTCTGCTCCTGCCATTAGCAGGAGGCCAGCCAACAAACGCATAGGCATTCTCAATTATGTCAGTTCGTGTGGCTTCAAGCATGGCAGTGTGCTTCTAAAGGTTCTGCTAAAGGTCAGATCGATGGTTTCTTTTCAAGGATTCAAGGTATGTTTATTTTGATCGAATCTACCGGCCAGTATTTGGGAGCTTCACCTATGGGGATCAAACCCGAGACTGCGCGGCCCAGCCATCCTGCTGAGGCCACTTGCTGAATCTGCTTGATCAGCAAGAGCGAATCCGCGCTGGGGTTCGAAGGTGAGGGGAGCCGACGGCTGCGCAGAGTGTGGGGGAAAAAGCAGCGAGTACTCTGCGGCGTGTGGATCGTAGCAGGTTTCGTGGATGGGGCTGGTGAATCCGATAACCACCGCAGAGCCGTCAGTGCACTCATTGGTTCGAAAAGTGGCATTTCATATCCAACCCTCCAAAGTCACCCAGCATAAGGTGCAGGTGTTTGACAATTCCCATGAGAGGCAGCGGCCTTTGAACTGCAAAGATTTCATCAAACAATGACTACTTCCAGCTCTTTGTATTGACTGTACACGCTGTCCATTTCTTTTGAAGGGATTTTGTGAACTGAGCTGCGACAATTTGGTCTCCCCCTCTCTTTGTTGGTTGGAGCTACAGCAGCCTGGATGCCCCGACAATCATCAATTGAAGAAGAACCAACGGACAATCTATTTGGTCGGTTCTCCTGAAATGTCCTGAAACCATCGGATACACCTCGCAGGACCATTCCTTAAGCCTTTGAGGTCCAGCCCCAACAAGAACACCATCAGCCTCTTCCGGGACTGTGTGCACACGCAGAGGGGGATGTGGGGGAAGGATGGGACCAAGGTGCAAGCTGCGATGAGATCTATTTCGATTGCTTTTGGGCGGTTGGATTGTGGCGGGACGCCGCTGGCAGAGATTCTAGTTATATACTCAAGTATTCTGATGGAACAGGATCTTCAAATGGCTACTGGGCAGTTCTCGAGGTTATCTGGGTTGTTATTGGTTACGATCCAGCTTCTTGTCTGGAGGATCACTAATCAATCTCGCAAATCTGGTGAACGAGTGTTGTTGAGCTTGCGATGCCTATGACGCTTGACATACTCACCATTGTACTTTCAATCCTGCAGTCCAGTATGCCAGCGGTATGTGGCAATTCCCAGGAGGGCGTGCGGATCACCCAGCCTCAGACCTTACCTGCTTGCCTGGAACCCAGAGGACGTGTAGGTGTAGCACTCCTTCAAAACTTGGACGATCATATTACCGGGCAAGGGAACATCTTGGTGGGCATGCTCTGGTGTAGATGACACGTTGATCCCCAACCATCATCTCAACATATCTCAACCATTGAGTGGAGTACAAGGCCCAACATTGAACTACAGTTTTCATGGCTCATCCAACGTCTCATTTCATTGATCGAAGGATCGTTCTTTGCTTGTCCACTTTACATCATCAGAGACAACCTTTGCTTAGAAAAGTCGTGTGAATGTTAAGATGATGTGCAGAAGGACAATCCTACTGTCCAAGCCCTGTGTTTGTTCTGCTGGAGTTGATGTCAGCTGACAGAGAATTGCCTATGTTTGCTCATGTTTTCAGGTGTTGACAGGCTGGTTGCCTAGTTGGTCAGCTTGGTCATCAGCCATCAACCATCAATGATGCACCAATCGAACGTCAACAAACTTGGGCAAATGCCCACCAAGCAGTACTGGTTGTGTTGTTGTCTGGTGGTGGTGGTGGTGGTGGTGGTGGACCTACGGGGAATGGTAGAAAGGAATGGGGCAATTTCTTTCTGTGAACATCCGTGTTTGGACAAGCCCCCTTCACAGCTTCACCCATCTTTTTACTGGCTGAGCCCTTCTCTGACAGAAGGTCTTGCGGGCAAAACGCTCTACCCACACGTGTGCTTCAAGAACATCACCGTCCAGGCTCGCGAGCCAGCAACAATCTCTGGCAAGGTCGACCAGGTGATGTGGTTTGTAGACAAATCCCCTGTGTCTAAGTCTAGGAGTCTAGGAGAAGATTGTGTGGGTACCATCCAAACCCACTTGAACAACATTTTGGAGTTCCCTTGTCGGGGACTGATCGAGTTCGACAAACGGTATCGAACGGTGCGGCCGACTCATGCAGAGCCCCTGACGGCTCAAACCGGCCGAGAGAGATCGGCAGCCTTCCTGAAAGGTCTGCTGCGGGTGACCTTCGAAAGACGTACTACCGCAGTGATCCTTGTTTCGCGAGGCATGCGGATATGCAAACCACGCGTGATGAAGAAAATCCCCAAAGATTCTCCAACCGAAGAGAACCAAGACTACCAAGACCAAAATACGACAAAATCTCATAAACAGGAATGGCATCAAGCCAGGAACGTTGTCAATTGGCTGCAGGACGGTGCCCATCTGAGCTGGCTTCCTTCGTGGTGGCGCCAGTCTCTTGTGCAACCTTCAATTAAGCTGCCTTGCCAGTGAAGCCTGTTGGCGTAGTCCTTGCCTCTTTGAGTGCAGGTTCATCGCGACTGCTGCATCACCCGCTTTTTCAGGGGGTTGTTGACCACAACCCCCTCGACCACACCCTGCTGCGTTGTAAGGGATTTCGATGGGAGGATGGTTCAATCTTCAATGCCTGTCCTTCCTCCTTGCCCGGCTCGTCTACCACGGTGGCCGTGATCATGGGTAGCCGGGGGCCATACAGGCCACAGACATACCAGGAATTGGACTTCTTCCATTTCATACGGTGGGGAAATATTCGGAGAAGCGGGACCAATGCGGACGGGAGAGGCCTTGAAGTTGGGCGTTTGGTGTTTTGCATAAACTCACCTCACCAAGGCTACAGCCATTTCACACATGCCGCTCAAATGTCGGGTCTGCCACTCCGACCGATCCAGCTCAGCCGGCCGATTGATGGTGACCCAGCACCGGAATCTACCCATGCTTCTAGACACCTCAGTGATGCACTGCTTGAGATGTGGTATTGTGTGCTTCCGTATCCGGTGACTTCAATGCAGATCCAGGATGATCCAGGTGCATTACAGCCGCATTTGATCTGGATACAGAAGCCCGATTTCACCAGCCACTACCCACCCGAATAGATTGGACACCGGAACTCCAGAGCTTCAGCGCATTCACCATCCCAACCAAAAGCCTTGGAACAGTGTGCGGCCTGGGCAAAATGCTTTGAGCAAGCACTTTTCTACTTTGCCACCCAGCACCAGCCGACAACACCACAGCCCCGATGCAACGCCCGTGCGCAAAGACAGCGCAAGTGAGTGTGCGCCAACATCGCGAGCAAGCAGACAGGGGGAGATTCGTCTTGCCCAAGACCTGCAGGCCATGCTGTTCACATGGTTCAAGCAGGCGCGGCGCATTCAGAGCTATGTCATGCTATCCAAGCTCACAAGGACACGGAAGATGCTGAGCTGCCAAGCTCTACCGAATACAGCTCTGGTCCGCCAGCGCGGCCGGCATCCAACAAGGATTTGTCCACTGGTGGGAACATTGTGAGCCGGTCAATGCCGCAATGCCGCTACTAGGCACACTCCGAAAGTTTATGGCCTGGCGCAAATGGCCAGGTCAAAATGAGGGACAAACCAAACAGCTCTATCGTCAGCTTAGACAGTCACCTCGCAATATACCAAATCACTATCAGGTAAAGGAGCATGTGGAGATGATGGCTGTAGATCCTCCAACAGGACAAGCGCACTTGGAAGCAGCCCTGCACGAGGTGCTCACGTTGACGGTGAACCGTTTGGCCCCCCTGCAGGGAGTATGGTTGGCATGGAAATCCCAGCGCTAGTGGATGACCTGTGCTGCTGTGTTCTTCTTGAGGTCCAGCTGCAGCACAGGTGCTGTGCTGTTCCGTGGGGTCCGGGTCGACTTTCACTAGAAGATTGAACAAAAAAATACCTGCGAACCCTGAAAAAGGTCAACGAATTGGGGTGAGAGGCTGGTGCTTCCTTGGCCACCAAGGTGCCAAGCCGTGCAGTCGGTGAACTCTATGATAGGGAGATCGTCGTAAGGTGCAACCATCGCCTCGTAGATCCCGCTGACCTTGCGTTCAGTGCCAAGGTGCCGAGCATCAAATTGGTGTCGAACTTCTCACGCGTCGCCACGACGCCTGATGCCAACAGGGTTTAATGGCACGATGATCAAAATGCCCCCCAAGCGTCAGCTGTAAGCGGCTCACTGACTGCAAACAAACAAAGTCTATTTTGGAGTTCCCTTACAAATCTTGATGTTCTAGTTTGTCTCCAGCATCTGACATCCGACTTGCGGCCAATTCCTGTCAGACGAACTTTGGGCCTCCCTTGATGCCATTGCCCTTCAAGTGCCACATGGTCGGGCAGGCGAGGATTCCGGCAGACGGACGGACCTGTCGCCCCGCTTGGTTTTTGTCTGTGAGTATAACTCATCACTATCGTGGGATTTGTGATAGGGTTTGGCCGCTTTTGCAACCACGAGAAATCAGGAGCAATTGGGTTGAAGTGGTTCACACCTGTAATGAAAGGATCAAGCAGGTCTAGAAAGGATCGAGCAGGTGCAGAAGTTTGTCCGGTTCTGAAGAAGAGGTGCCAAAAGTTGACGGTGCAAGCGCAAAGCCTCTATATTGTTTGACTACAAAAGTAGGATCTGTGTCAGGTTTCAAGACATTCAGAACCACCAGTAACACATATCAGATTTGCCTGGCAAATGGTGAAGCAGATTGCAGTCTCCCCGATCTGTCGCATGAATCCTCATGCGGAGTCTTTTTCGGTTTCGTGTGATCCTTTTCGCCTTTGCCAGGCACCTGCCACAGATGCTGTTGTGGGCATCGTAGTCCCGGCATGTTGGTAGATGGGGAGATGAACTGGAAAAGGCAACGAGATGACCAACCCTGGCCTTTTCTGGTTCTGTGGTTGTAGAATGAATCTTTGTAATTACATATTTTTGGAGATTTTTGGGAATTCGCCCCCTGAACTGTCACCTATCGCATGTTTTTTTGGAAATGAAAGAGTTTAGCTCGAACATCACTGATATCGTTTCAAAGTTGTCAACATGCTGTTGTATGTGCAGGTGGTGCATCAATGATGGGAACCAGAATTTGCGTGGTTTAAGTGGCCAGTCGTTCTGGGAAGTTTGCATAGGGCATCCATCAGGACTTGTGAAAGGTGCGATTCATCATGTCACAATGCGAACTCAGCATACGCTACCACGTCAAAGGTCCGAAACAATGAAACTGCGTTGAACTAAGTTAAAACCAAGCTGAAATTCATGTCCCCTCCTATCCCTGCTTAGTGCTACTGGCATGTTTTGGGAATCATTCGTGGGCTATGCTAGATTTTGTTTTTTTGAGTTCCAGATGGATTCGAAACGGTCAGCTCATGAATGGCAGTCGATTCTTAGTTGCTTTTGTGTAAGGAGATCTTGTTGAGACCCTGCCGGGATTGACCCCTTGGAGGGTCTCGTGCAATTGCCATGCTGCTGTTGTTGGCGTAAAATCTGCTCCCAACCTCGACCAGGAGCCTGCTCCCAATGGCACTTACGAGGCAACCGGCTGGGAATTGGGTGCACACAGGCCTATCTCACCTGGGCTTCCTGGTAGCCGCTGGTAGCCCCTCCCTTGGGGTTGATAATTGTGTATGTATATATATATATCCTCTGTGTCCATGACTCTATTCCTTTGTGCTGGGCATTTTTGGATATTCCAAGTGCTGCGTTTCGCGCAGGTGCTCTTCCCCATCGCCATCCCTGATGAGGGCACCTTTGACTGGTTGGATGACTTCCTCAAGAAGAATCCAAGGCCCTAGTTCAAAACTTGGTCATACAAACTTGCGGTTGGTCGGCGTTGTGTCAATTTGCAATTGTTTCTCGCATTCAATAAACAAATGACTCATCATCAAACAGTGAGTAAAGACTCACAAAAAACACCCATTCTGTGCCAATCTTCTGACATGTCCGATTTGCAAGGACATTACAGTGGAATGCATGCATCCCCAAACAGTCACCTCTATAAAGAACATTGCGTTTTGGGCATCCTCATTTGTGGGCACTAGCAAGGCTTTCATTTGCTCCTCGACACTGCGCTCCTTTGCCAAGCGTAGCAGTTGAACAGTGACATTCCCTTTGTGCTTCAACCTTATCCTTGCTCCCCTGAAACATCAATCCAGGTCACTTGTTAAATGAGGAAAAGGATCCTAACCAAGCCCAGGTGCACGCACCTTTGTACAGACCCATGAACATCAGAAGCAAGTTCTTGGTAGAGAATCCGGGCTTTGGATGATTTTCCTTGGAGTTTTTCCGATTTCAATCCATAGCACCGGAGCACGTAGGATCTGATGACACGCGGTCTGCTAGAGCGGACACATGGACTCCGGGGTGTGGATCTTTGTTTCAAGAAGATCGGATAGAGTATCGCCTTAAGTGCATTCCATGCGAAGTCCTTGACATTTGTAATTAGGACGACAACGTGTTTGCAAACTTCTTGTGTGTAGTAGTTTCGGGACAGCATCCCAGAGCAAAAAGTCGTGACTCTCTTTGGACTGCTCTTCTTGCATGACAACATAACTTAAGTTTCCCTAAATATCCTGGAGCCAAATTAATAGTGCGAGCGCTTCCTTGAAGAAGCGTGAGCTAATCCTGCGTCCTAGATAGTAGCGCATTAGTAAGCTATTAACTACCTCAGTTCCTTAACTAAGTAAGCGTCTACTTAATTAAGTAGGTCTAAAAGAACCATGTTTCTGCGGATTTCTAGGGCACTTCTCTTCGTCGCAGATCCACCTCGTCAGGTATGTGGAATTGTCCGACCGGGCGATGGGGGAGTCGGAGGACCCAGGGCTGACGGGGATGGCTGGTTGGCACATGGGGGTGCGGTGACTTGGGTGCACACATATCATCACATATCTAAATAAATATGTATATATATATATATACGTTGTCGATTTCGCAGGGGACTCGCATGTCACATGTTCAGCATGCCACTGCCGTGGCATTCGGCCCAAAACCCTTCACAGGGAGGGAGGGTGGTCTGTTTGAGCCATCGATGGGATCAGGAGATCTCGGAGCGCCGGAGCGCCAGTGAGAGAAAAGGTACATCGGCTGCGGGAGGTGCAGGGCACTAGGAACTTCTTACAAGTGGTTGAATTCAGATCATTGTGGTTCAGGGAACCTCGTGCATTTTTGAGAACCTGGGTGATCAACAGGGAGATCCACATCAATTTACATTGTTGGTTCTGAGTTTGCATTGACCATGCCTGAGTCCGCAAGTTCAGCAACAGTGGAAAGTGGTTCAGCCGCAGCAGGCAATCAGCTGGCATCGTTGATACCTACCTTCGACCCCGCTAGCGACAGTGTTGAACAATGGTCCCAAAAGATCGAACTCCTCACCAAGGTGTGGCCTGAAGGAAAATTGGCAGAGCTTGCTACAAGGATTATATCGAATTGCAGAGGGTCAGCATTCGCGAAACTCCAGTTACAACAGAAAGAGCTCCTCGACGGATCAGTTGACCGTATCACCAAGATTGCGGAGATAGTTGGAGGCCAATTTGGCCAAGTGAATCTGGAACAAAAATTCGATATAGTCGAAAAGGCACTCTTCAGATGCTCCCAGAAACCGGATGAGAGCGCTGATTCGTACATAGCAAGGTCCGAAGTGGTTTGGACTGAAATGCTGATGAAGAAGATCAACATGTCAGAAGTGCAGGCCTACATCGTGCTCAGAGGCAGCCGTCTGAGTATGGAAGACAAGAAACGGGTCCTTGTGGAATCCGGAGCGGAAAGAGATGGAAATGAACTTGAAATGAAGAAGGTTGCCGCCGCTATCAGGATGCTGGGATCCAATTTTTTCCAAGAGTACACGTCCGGCAAGAAGGACAAGAACCTCAAGACATATGATCAACATGCATTCGGAGTTGAAGAAATTGAAGAGTATGTTGATGAGACAACTTGGGAACCAGAAGACAACATGGAAGAAGAGTCCCTTGAAGCTCTAGCCATGGACGATGATGATGCCTCCATGGTGCTTCAATTCGAGAACGCCCTCATGGACACAGTACAAGAAGACAAGGAGCTAGCGACATTCTACGTGAGTTACCAAGAGGCTCGCCGCAGATTGCTGGAGAAGTCTCGCTCACGTGGGTTTTGGCCTGCTCGAAATTTCAAGGGGTTTGGAAAGAAAGGAAAACCCAAAGGGGGAAAAGGAAAATCAAAAGGCCTCGCTCATCGAATCGCCAACAGCTCATGCCGACTATGTGGCCAAACTGGCCATTGGAAGGCGGAGTGTCCCTCACGAAAGACTCAAAGCAATCCAGAAGCCAGCCAGATTCCGACGTCATTCGTGGTTGACCTCAACTCATGCTTGAACGAAATCCCGGAAACACCAGCCGAAACTTCGACCCAGGCAGAAAGCTTTTGTTTCGCAGTAGTAGGGGGACCATGGGACCAGTTTCGAGAAAAGCTCAGGACCAAATGCCGCCAGATCGTCGCACTAAGGAACACCCGGCCAGCTCTCAGTCGTGAGCCGACCATGACGACACCTGAGTCCTGGGCAAAATCGATTGTAGAATGGTCAGCTGAGGAAGCCGCCACCTGCTTCGCTTCCTCTGGTTCCGTAGGAGTGCGCTGACCAGCAAAGTAGCGATCATACTGCCGGTGCAGGACACGTGGTTCCGAATTGCCATCGTCCCAGGCAAAACACCATTCCTGCTGTCCAATGCTTTTCTTCGCACCATCAAAGCAGTCATCGACACTGAGGCAAATACTCTATGGGGCAAGATGTTAGGGAAATACTTAGAAACATCCAAGTCAGCATCAAATCTTATGTTGTTGGATCTCAATCAGCTTTGGCCTCAGGACGTTTTTGCTGTCCAAGACACTGCACCGCCGTCCGGAGTGTTTGAAATCCACTCGACTCAGACCAGCTGCGCCGAGCAAAACCAGTCACCTGCCGAAGTGGTACTTCAAAGTGAAACAGAACCATGTTTCGGAAGCCGAGCGATAGAGTCCAATTTAACTAAGCCCAACCCAATCAAGATCGAGAAGAGTTCAATTCGTTCGCAAAAGCCGATCGTTGAATCTTTTGAACCAAATGCCAAATTAGATCAATCGAGTCAGCCCTCCAGTTCTCAAGCTCCGTTGTGTCAGCGTACGCCTGTCTCTCGGAATCATGTCCAGTTTGAGCCAGAAGCTTGCCGCCTTCCAGGAAGAGATCAAGAAAGAACACCAACAGGAAGAGATCGATTTGCTCGATCGGATGCCGCTATCACCTGACCATAGCCTTCGGCAAGGCCAAGTTGGGCCAGACCTTCGAAGAAGCTTTTCAGGACCAAAGCTGGACCAAGTGATTCGTCAAGACGTACGAGAACAGCTCCAAGTACGAACATCGTCAATTCCTCCGTTTTGTGCAACTCAAGCTGGAGGGAATTCCCGATCCGATCAAGGTGAGCCTGACGCCAGAGTTCGAGTACAACCACCATGGCTCAACCGGTGACATGCGATCCCTGGGATCCGGAAGAACATCAGCTCGAGGAAATCCTGGCACATCAAGGGAATCAAGACTTCAGGATGGACCGCATCGAACAAGCACTGTCTTCGATCATGCAGCACCTCAAGCAGCAGGCCAAGATGAAGCAAGAGCCCCACGGCCCGTGGACGATGGTCAAAGAGGAGCCCCAGTGAGCCCGAGCCCGATTGAACCGGAGTGTGCACTCCATGAGGTGGCCAATCTCATCGGAGATGCTGAGTATGACTTCGATTTTGAGAGCACCACCGGAATATATCAAGCAATGCTCGTACTTCGTCCAAAAGTTCAAAGAAGAATATCAAAGCATAGCCAAGTTCATCAAGCCCAATGCGTCATCCCACTTCATGTTCGAAGTCATGTGTTCCGAAGACAGTGAACTGACCCGCCAAGGTCTCCAACAAGGGCTGAAGGTAAAACGTTTTGGTCTCAAAGAAGGGGATTTGAAAACCACCATAGGACGAAGAAACCTTTTCTGTCACTTGGCCAGAGATCGTCCAGAACATCTATGGATCAGCCCGACCTGTGGACCGTGGTGTCAGTGGTCACACTTGAATATGAGCAAGAGTGCTGAGCTTCGAGACAAGGTCCTGACTTCTCGAAAGGACCATCTATGGCAAGTAAGCCTCGCACGGGTTTTATGTGACATTCAAGTGTCCCAACAGCGTCATTTTCATTGTGAACAACCTCAAGGATCCAAACTGCTGAAGCTCAATTGTTTTCGACCAATTGCTGCCGTGACGAAGCCAAGCATTTTTGACATGTGCCGCGTGGGAAGTTTAAGGGAGCCAATATCAAAAGCACCAATTCGAAAACGACTGGTAGTCTGCACGACCTCTCAAAGGTTGTTCGAAAACCTCCACAACAGGAAATGTCAGGAAACCCACGAGCACCACCAGATTGCTGGAACAACGCAAGTTCAGGGGTGTAGCATGCCACTCTCTAAGTTCACGGAACTGTATCCAAGAAAATTTGCCAGACAGATCATTCAATGCCTTCGGAGTGAACCGGGAAAACCATATGCCTCATTCACGGCAGAGATTGATGAACACCCCACAAAACGAAGAAGACTTGACAAGAAAAGCAACTCCATCCAAATTCAATTATTGACTGAGAACCCGACTTGGGAGGATATCATGAAAGCAGTAGACACCGAAGCCCCAAGAGTAGGGATCCGAGTCATCACAGAGGGGTACTTGCTCCAAGCTGTCCAAAGAAAATGCAAAGACAAAATCATCAACCACCTGGTTCTTTGTAGGGGCATGGATCGCATGGTAGGACCCAATCTTCGGCTATCACCCGGAGTTGCTCCTTTGAGAAAGTTCATTGGCATCCGTCGTAGATTCGAAGAGATTACTGAAGAGGACACATGGGAACCATTGGGGAGACTTTCAGCTAGGCAAATGCGCCGACCATGTCCATTATCCAGATGTGGTTTGACAGTGTTTGCCAGAACCCGACTGCAGGACAACTCAGATCACAGTCGAGAGGTCCCGTCGGACTTAGCCAGAAATGCCAAAAGCCGTCGAGTGGAGGAAACTCCTGTTCAGCCGGAGCTGAGTCACCAGCCGTCAGTCACAGGTCCTGGACCCGCCGACAACAGAGAAATAGCAGTCCCAAAGACCTCCGAAGTCTCAGAGAAAGATGAAGTCAGCGAGTTCAGACAAATGGTCGACCTAGTATCAGATAAGCATGGACCAAAGTTTTTGGCACTCCCCTCCGAAGAAAGAACATGGGTCATGAAAATCCATAAGAACATGGGTCATCCAAATGCCAGCAAACTCCGACTGTTTTGTCAACAAATGGGATGCTCCCAGAACATCCTCGAAGCCCTGAGTGACCTCCGATGTTCAACATGTCTTGAAACGAAAGGACCTGAAATTGCGAAGCCAAGTGCAATCCATCCAGAAATGGATTTCGGAGATGTGATTGGAATGGACGGAATTAAATGGACTAGTCAAGCTGGCAAGCAATTCTTCTTTTACCGTTTTGTAGATCAAGCCACGACCTACCATACTGCCATGGTAACCAGGAGCAATTCGTCCAGTGAAGCCATTCGAGCGTTAACTCTAGGTTGGATTAATTGGGCGGGACCCCCAGGGACATTGATCGTAGATGCTGGAACAGAATTCGGGACAGAAGGATTTCATCAGTTCCTTCAAGCCCATGATATCCGACTCAGAATGATTGCCCCGGAAGCCCATTGGCAGAATGCCAAGAGTAGAACGCCATGGAGGTATCCTCCAATCGATTCTCGACAAAATGGACTGTGAGCAACCAATCGAAACAGAAGAAGAGTTCGAA